CACTCACTCAGTGGCTCGTTCCTGAAGTATCGTAGGTCAGATCTCGTCACTCTTTGGCTCAAGATGGCCTGTGGCTCCCCTTCTCTCAGATTAAAGCCCAGCTCCTTCCTGTGACCTACAGGGCCCTGTGACAACTGGCCAATATCTCCCCAGCCTTCTCTCACCACCCCTGTTCCTCTCACGTGCCCCTAACTCCAGACCTCTGCCCGGAGGTCACCTTCTCCCAAGGTCCCCCTTGATCCTGTGCCCGTCATCAATGGGCGCAGGAACGCCCTGGGAAGTGGCCTAGGCCCTGGGGAGTGGCCTAGAGCCAAGTCTCCGCTCCTACTCCCAGCCCTCTCCACCTTCCCTGACTTAAGATTCTGCACAGCTCTTAAAAACAACCTCTGTACTAAATAAGTTACCTGTTTGTTCAGTGCTGCCTAGGAGTATGTAAGCTGCAGGACAGCATATTAGTCGGTTGTCGCCCTAATTCCTGGGTCAGAGTCAGGCAGTGCTCAGAGTGAGTGCTCGCTCACATTATTTGTTGAATTAATAAATGAAAAGTGCAACAGGCATTTACCTACGTTTTGCCTGACAAGCCGATACTGTATTAAGTGTGCATATCTGCGTGCACACCTGTGTGAAGGCAGGCACACTGAGGAATCCTGAGGGGAGCCTGTGTTTCCCTCTGTCAGGAGCGAACTCCACTTCTTTCCCTTGTAGCTGTCACGGGGCAGGAAGGCTGAGCTTATATTTGTAGCTCGACAAGCTCCATCCTGAGAATGCAGTATTCTACAACAAAACCTGCTTACAAATCTGCCTGAGCCAGTTTACTAATAACCAATAACCTGTTCTAATTATAGTTTGTCTCATAATGGCCTTTCATGGGACCCTACCCATTACTTACTTTAGAAAAATGCAGTCTGGGGGGCGCCCGAGAGGCTCAAGGGGTTAAGCATTTGACTCTTAATATCTGCTAGGGTCTTGGCTCCTCCCACTCCCACTCTCAAATAAGCTTAAAAAAAAGAAGAACAAAAATGCAGTCAGTATGCCCATCAGCTTAAACTTTTGTACTGTTGCCTTTGTAAGTGCTGAGCAGCTGTTTTACCCCTATGAAAGCCGTGCCTGCGCCCTTGCTTTTTAGTTAAATAAACCTCAACTCTCCCAATCTGCATTCCTCCTGCATCCCATCTCTCCGTGCGTGATGACCAGCTCTTGCAATGGGGGTTGGGTGCAAGAACAAGTCTTCACGAGAGAAACGGGGAATACGATACAGGGAATACAGACCCACTGTTTCTTTAATCCAGGAGAACAATGTTTAGGGTTTGGTTTTGTTTTTACTGGACTTAACCGGAATATGGCTACCCTTTAGAGCTGTGTCCCATCGCTTTTGTACCTTGGTCCTCAGAGGTACGTTCAGGAAAAAATGTGATTGCTGGCAACGGAGGTGTGAGAAGGGGTGTCGCCCTGATTTTAGAGAGCATTTCTGTGGTTTGCACAGAGCCACGGCCAAGGTTGAGTTCTAGAGGTTGGGGTCCTCCTGCCACTCCCCCCCACCCCACGTCCCTCCCACCTTGTTCTGGAGGAGAGTCCAGATGGCAGCTCTGCGCTGAGAACTTGCCAGGGTGCCAGCTCCCCCAGGAACTCCTTCTTCACACTTAGCTGTTCCCTTCGGAGCTGGACGAACCCAGGCTGACAAGTTACTTTTTACTCAAACTGGGTCCCAGCCTCTTAAATCAGTGGTAGACGACGATACAGTTTTCTTCACAGCAGGCTCTAGACTACCCATTCTGGATTGTTTTTGGGGTGGGGGGAGTTCGGAGGTGGTTGTGAGTTCTGTGTCCCTTTCCTAGTTAAAAAAAGAAAAAAAACCTTCAGGATTATGGCTAAATTTCTACTTTATCAAACTAGAATTTCTCAGCTGTGTCGTCAAGGCCTAATACCAAGTCTTGAGTCCCTGACTTCATTCTCACGCTGTTCCCAGAGGTTTCACTTGCGTCCAGATTACCTGCCCCGCCAGCCCCTCAGCCTGCTGCTTTCTCAAGAATCTGTCAGCAGCAGCCAAGTGCTGCCCCGGAAGTTAATGCTCCTGCTGCTCCTCCCTCCTCTTAACCTGTGCTCTTCCCCACAACACACCGCGACCGCTGCCTGGGTCCCCTCAGCTCTCTTCTACCATCAGGCTTGATTTATAAAGTGCGCCTCAAATCTTACTTGCTGAAGCCAGTGCTGATCACCCACCAGCATCTGATCAGACCCTTAAGCCAGCTCTTGCGGCCCGTGTACTTGGCTCCCACTGGAGTGCAGCTGGAGCCAGACCTCCTGGGTTCAAATCCAGTTGCCTGTAGTGACTTCAGGAAATTCACTTTAATCTGTGCTTCAGCTTGTTTATCTGCAGAACAGAGATAAAAACAGTCCCTGCTCTTGTGCATACTGAAGGCGTTAATAAAGTACATAGAGTGGTATGTGGGGTAGAGGAAGCGCTACTTAAATGGTAACTTTGTTGTCTTTTTACCTGCTGATACAAGTCTCTGTCTGGCTGTGTTTACTTACCTGGGGGTACAGCTCCCCTCCTTTGGTTTCCTTGTTTGCTGTTCTTCCCTGGAGTCCTGTGTACATGTTAATCTTCCCATTTCTTCCTTACCCTCCGGTTTCCTCCTCAGACCTAGGTCCGGAGCCCAGGTCCGGAGGAGTAGGGCGTCTGTCTCCCTCTGGAGCTGGCACCCCGCAGCAGCAGCAGAGCCCAGCGCTAGAGTTCTGTGCTGTCCCTGCTTGTCCCCGCACTCCCCGAGTCTCCACCCAACCCCCCCCCCATTCCCCCGCCCCCGGGATGTGAAGACCAGGTGTGCACAGCCACTTTGCCTCCTGGTGGCCACGCTCTGGCTTAACATCATCCCTGGTGTCTGAAGAGAGCCCTCTCTTCTCCGTTAGCGCCACCACACCCCCACCCCACTCTCTTGGCCATTTCCTTTATGGAAATAGCATCTGCTCAATTCCTTTGTTTCCTGGTAGTACAGATTGCCCCCCCCCCATGTTTTTTTTTTAATGTTTATTTATTTATTTTGAGGGGGGAGTGGGAGGAGGGACCTAGAGGGAGAGAGAGAGAATCCCAAACAGTCTCTGCACTACCAACGCAGAGCCCGACACGTGGCTCGAACTCACAAGCCATGAGATCATGATCTGAGCCGAAACAAAGAGTGGGACGCTTAACCGACTGAGCCAACAGGTGCCCCTGATGGCCCCTTTTTTTTTTAATGGGCAGAATAAGTGGGAGATGGAAGGAACCCCTACTGCGCCACTGTGGTTTCGTAGAAGAGCTGTAATTGTGGCCCCTCTCTCCTACTGCAAAGCAATCTGGCTTGTGCCATACCCACCACCAGACACTCTGCAAAGGCACAGGGTATTTTTTAAAAAAAAATTTGGAGAGTGCTGCTATGAACATTGGGGGCCATGTGTAGCAACATGGATGGACCTTGAGGGTGTTATCNTAGTAGTACTATAGCCATATTGGAGAACTTATCCTCTCTCAAATGAGTTTAGGCTCTAATTTATCCCACTTAGATGTCATCATGTAGCAAGTGGTTTTGACCTTTCACTATCACAAGAATTTGTACAGGATGTTTTAAGTACTAAGTGGGTCCTAGAGTCTATCCTCATTCTCATCAGGCTGGGAGAATATGATCTGTAAGTTTTTTCCTTGGAGATTACATAGCAGATTTCTCTCCTACTCCTCCTTTTCCTCTTTCTTCTCCTATTTTTTCTTCTTCATCCCCTTCTCTTTTTACTCCTCCTTCATAGAAATATAGTGTGGCTATTAAAGCTAGAGTTTTGTAGAGCTTCAAATGACCCAAAGAACCATCTAGGCACTTCTAAGACTTGGAAATTTAGGACCCACAAGGTACAGGCTCTGCACAGGACCTGTTCAAGATCATATAGCTCATACCGTCTTTAGAAATCTACCTTGAGGGTGTTATGCTGAGCGAAATAAGTCAGGCAGAGAAGGACAAATATCATATGTTTGCACGTATAGGAGGATTAGGAGGAACTTGACGGAGGACCAAGGGGGAGAAGAAGGGGGGAAATGGTGGGGGAAAGGGAGAGAGGCAAACCATGAGAGACTCTTGAATGCTTAGAAACAAACAGAGGACTGATGGATATGGGGGGAGGGGGGTGGGCATGGAGGAGGGCACTTGTGGGGATGAGCACTGAGTGTTATGTGGAAACTAATTTGATAATAAACTATTTGTAAAAAAAAATAAAAATAATGCAAATTATTATTAAAAAAATTTAATGTTTTATTTATTTCTGAGAGAAAGACAGCATGAGCAGGGGAGGGGCAGAGAGAGAGGGAGACACAGAATCTGAAGCAGGCTCCAGGCTCTGAGCTGTCAGCACAGAGCCCCACTGAGCCACCCAGGCGCCCCAGACACAGGGCACTTAACAGCTGGACCCCTCTTCCCCTCCCCCTCCTTTTCCGTACATTCTCCGTAGGGGTGTGTGTGTCCTTTAAGGCCCTTCTCTATCAGAAGGAAAACCTCCCTCTCTGGGCAGATGAGACAGGCTACAGGCTATTCTCTTTAGGTACAGGATCCCCTAGTGCTTGGACCTAAGACCACATTTGTTATTTCTCTTTTCAGTCTTCCTCTCCAGGTCCTTACTCTCAGGTCGAGTCACATAAAATTGCTATTTGACCATTGTAAACCCACAAAATGGCAGCTTGGTACAGCCGGGCCTCTCGCGTACTTGCTGGTTGGTTTGGTGCTCCTGCACTCGCCCCCGAGCCCACCAGCTTTGCGGTGGGACCAGATGGGAGCAGTCGGTGGTATGTCTGGCCAGAAGACAAAGCCAGCCGACTCCCCTGGGTTGAGTGTTGTCGCCGTCTCTTAAACATCAAAACCCCGTTTGTTTATTACTATCTAAACTGATTTTGTGGAGCAGATGTGGTGTCCACGAGGAAGCCTGGCAGGAACGATGCTGGAACCACTTAGTCCTTGTAAGGCAAGTTTGTTCTTACTTTCCAGTCTTCACGTATAATGCTGCCAGCAAGGAAACCTGTGAACGCAACCACGGACAGTGCTCCCCGCACGCCTTCTGCACGGACTACGCCACTGGCTTTTGCTGCCACTGCCAGTCCAGGTTTTACGGCAATGGGAAGTACTGTCTGCCAGAAGGTAGGAGATGCTGGATTGACTGGACTGGGGGCTGCTCTGTGTATATTTTTGCCGCTTGCCTGTTTCCAGCCGCCGCTGTGACTCTGCTTATGGACCTTGAATCTCCGACCGCCTGAATCAAAGCACTGGCAATGTGCAGGTGCTTAATAAGGAGAAATGAATGCATTTGGGCTGGTTTCCCAATTTGAGGATTAGCCAGAAATCTTTCCTCCTTATTGCCAGCTCATTAGAGTCAGGGCGGATGGGAGAGTGGATGGGAGAAAATAAATTGAAGACAGGTCTGTTTTGTACTTAGATGGATAATTGGTTGGTTAGGGAATCATGAAAATGGATAAAAGACCCGAGTTTCCGGAATTGTGAGTGGAATTATTTTCTGTGTACCCATCCCCAACCTGGACCATGGTCAGAGTTGACCGAATTTGCTCTCTTTTAGGGGTGCCGCATCGAGTCAACGGGAAAGTGAGTGGCCACCTCCACGTGGGCCACACGCCCGTGCACTTCACTGACGTGGACCTGCATGCTTACATTGTGGGCAATGACGGCAGAGCCTATACAGCCATCAGCCACATCCCACAGCCCGCGGCCCAAGCCCTTCTCCCACTCACACCAATCGGAGGCTTATTAGGCTGGCTCTTTGCTTTAGAAAAGCCAGGCTGGGAGAATGGCTTCCGTCTCACAGGTGAGCAGCAGGGGCCTTTAAGGGGGCCGATGGCTACCAGCCGTCATGCTTGGGTTTTTATTCCGTAAAAGAGGATCCGTTTGTTCAATATTCTACAGGTGTGTAGCTGGGCCTGGTTTGGTCTCACAGGACTGTTTTCTTCCACATGTTCTCCAAGTTGTCCTGAGAATTGGGATGATTCCATTTGGACCCTTTATGTCCTTTCACCGGAATTGGTTGAAGCTTGTTTGTTAGGTTGTGTTTACGTGAGTTGTGACCCACAGATCTGTCAAATAGAGATGCACAAATGGAGATTACAAGGCATCTGGTGAGGAGTTTACTTTGCCAGTAAACTTCCTCCTCTCTCACCCCCACGACTCTGACCTCTAATGGTACAGACCAGGGAATGCCTCCCACACTCTAGCCTGCAGCAGATCACCTGCAGTGCTTGTGAAAAGGCAGATTCTGGCTCTGTGAGCCTGGGCTGGGGTCTGTGATTCTGTTTTCCTAACCGAGCTTCCCAGAGATGCTAACGCTGGTCTAAGAGGATCTTTTTTTGGCTTTTCCTTCCCTACCTGAAGAGGTTGGTTTCCTGCTGGCTTTATCACAAGCAAAGTACTGAGAGAAAAGTTCTTCCCCCACCTCCAGAGCTATTTGTAGGATCTTGTTTTCAATCAAGGTTTGAATAAAACTTTGAGTCACAAGTAGGTGCAGTATACTCCGTCACATTTGAATTTCAGGTAAACAATGAATTATTTGAATAACTTAGTAAAAGTATGCCCCAAATACTGTAGGAGACGTGTTATACTAAAAGTATATTCATTAATTATCTGAAGTTCAAATTTAACTGGGTGTTCTACGTTTTTTTTGCTTGTTTGTTTTTCGCTAAGTCCAGCAACCTCAGAAAGAGAAAGGTCAAGATGTTACTAGTAGCTTCTCATGGAAAACAAGCTGTTACAAAGAGAAGCAGTGTGAAATGAGGCAGGATGAAACCACACTGTTTAATAGAAACTTTGGGGAACTGACGAAATCGGCAGCTGATGGTACTTAGTCTTGGATGGCAGATGATCTCCGTATGCACCATCGCCAACAGCAGTAGGAACGAAGAAGCGCACTGCGGTGATTGTTACTGGAAGGTGCAACACCTCCTGTTAGCTTTGTGCTGAAGTCTTTGTTCCTCCCCAGGTGCCACCTTTACCCATGAAATGGAAGTGATTTTCTATCCAGGAGAAGAGAGAGTTCACATCACTCAAACCGCCGAGGGACTTGACCCAGAGAACTATCTGAGCATTAAGACCAACGTTCAAGGCCAGGTGCCTTACATCCCAGCAAATTTCACAGCCCACCTAGCTCCCTACAAAGAGCTTTACCACTACTCGGAGTCAGGTATGTGTAACCGTTTTGACATTTGTAAAATGGGCAGAGTGCATATCTTGTAAGATAGTTGTGAGGATGACGAGTTATTACATGGAATGTCCTTAGAAAAGTGTGGTACGTAAAATGAGGTCAATATCATTTTATTACTCTTATTAAATATGTAGTATACGTGAGAGAAGTGTTGGCTCCTACACAAATGAATATCAATATTCCTATGCCAGTACTTTCAAATAATGAATGAATAGCAACTTTGTCTATGGGGGTGGGTAGGGGTTGTATAATTATATACAAATTTTAACCACCTGTGCTATCTGGGCCATGGAAAAATATTATCGGAATTTTTACTTGTCCCATAACATTGTTTCAGCCCGTTTTAAAATGAGATGCTACACTGTTTTGTACAACTAATGCTACATTTGGAGTCACAAGATAGGAATTCACATCATGGATTTGTAGCTTAAAGTAGACGAGGGCTAAGGTCACTTGCCACCTGAGAGCCTATTTTCTCATCTTGAGAATGAGCAAAAGAACACCTTTTCTCTCTACCTTCCATGGTTGTTGTGTGTAAATTGTGCTGAGTTCTAGAAAACTACCTGAATGCAAGATACTGGCGTAATCACATCTGCCGCCCTGTGGCACAGCAGTTTGCTTTGAGCCGTGCCTTTCCTGCTTCTGTGTTGTGAGAGTTGGGATGCTGGACAGAGGGTGGACAGAGGAGATTGGGCAGTGGAAACCCAGCGAGTGCACAGAGCAGCTGATGGCCAGAAGACTGGTCTGGGCTTCCTACTCCACGCTCACACTGAAAGAACGTCCCCTTCCTTTGTCCAGAACCCTTCAGACTTAAGTCGCGAGCTGTCCCTCTGTGCAATCTTGAGCAGGAAACCTTGGGGTATAGAGTCGGGCTGCCTTGTGTCCCAGTTCCCACTCTCCCACATGCTGGCCTCGCGTCTTAAGCCACTTCTTAACCTCTGCAAGGCCCCCTGCGCGCGATCACCGCACCCACCCTGCTGGGGTGAGGCATAAACAAGGCCGTGCTTGGAGAGCACCTGGCGTGGCTGGCATGCGGTGGCAGAATTGATCCTTTGCTAATAATGATGGCAATGATTGTACCTCCTCCTCCTCAGCACTTCGGCTTTGCATCTGCTCAGATTCCCGGAATTGCCTGACGGGTTTTCCATATTAACTCAGGAACTTCCCAAGGGAACATGCTCCAGGAATCATATGAAAAACAGAAAAATTGGCCCCACGTGAAAATCTCTAATATTTAAAAAACTTATCAGTTTGGCTGAATGATGTCTGTTGCAGCTGTGACCTCCACAAGTTCCAGAGACTACTCGCTCATCTTCGGTGCCACCAACCAAACACTGTCCTACCGCATCTACCAGAATATCACCTACGAGGCATGCAGGCACGCCCCCAGACACCGGGCCATTCCCACCACCCAGCAGCTGAATGTGGACCGGGTCTTTGCCTTGTACACTGAAGGGGAAGGGGTGCTTAGATTTGCTGTGACCAATCAGATTGGCCCAGTTGAAGGTATGTTTCCTTTTGTTGTTTTGGGCAAAAATTGCATCCAGCATTTTTATAATTCCTTTTTGAGTAGCCTCAAATTTCTGAGTAGCCTCAGAATGATTCACAGAAGTTACTAAGGGTTACTGAGTACCAGGCTCTGTGTTAGGTGCTGGGTGTAAGGATGAATAAAGCAGGGGCTTGTCTGTGAGGTGGAGAGAGAGGTAGAAATGGAACTTTTAGAACAGTGCTCCTACCACACTAAGGAATAGAGTACAATACACGAGGCTGGTTGGTGGCAGCACACCACGTTTGTGCCAGTCTCTGTTGTGGATATATCTGTGAACAAGGTGAGGCCAAGTTAGGAGGGAGAATCATGCTGACAAGTATTTGTTACAATACTGATAAGAGCATGACGCTATGAGCCTAGTCTGTAAGAGTAGGGAAGAGGTCTTTGAGAAGGGACACTTTAGCTAGAACTTAAAGGATAAGGATTTCACCAAATCAAGATAAGACAATGAGCCAGTGCCTGGAAGAACAAAAGGAACCACATGTGAGAGAAACCCAAGTTAACATTATACTCAGTGAGGAAAGCCTGGATGCTTTCACTCTAAAGATAGCTATTCCTGCCACTTCTACTCAGCACTGCATCGGAAGTCTTAGCCAGGGCAATTAGGCAAGAAAATAAAAGGCATGGAGACTGGAAAGGAAGAAGTAAAATTATCTCTGTACTCCTATGATGTGATCTTATATGTAGAAAGTCTAATTCATTAAACTATTAGAACTAATAAGTTCAGCAAAGCCAAAGGATATAATTTTTGTATATTGATCTTACATTTCTGTATAGTAACAATGAGCAAACGGAAAAGGAAACTTTAAAAACAATTCTGTTCCTGAAATATTTAGGAATAACTTTTTAAGTAAAATACTTTTATACTGAAACATATTAAAGCATTTTTGAAAAAAAAATTAAGACATAAATAAATAGAAAATTAGACCTAATACCATGTTTATGAATCAGAAGACTGATTATTAGCATAGCAGTGCTTCCTAAATTGTTCTATAGATTCAACTCAATCCTATCGGTTAACCAGTTGGTCTTTCTGCAGAAACAGAAATTGATCCGAAAATTCATGGAAATTTATGGAAACCAGAATAGCCAAAACAAAATTGAAAAAGAGCAGTTGGAGGAATTCCACTTTAATCAAGACCATATAGTCCTGGCGGAGGATGGATATAAAGATCAATGGAATAGAAATGAAAGTCCAGAAATAAACACTCACAGCTACAGTCCATTGATTTTTGACAAGGTTACCAAAACAATTCAGTTACCAAAACAAAACAAGTGAGGGGAGAGAGTAGTTTTTTTAAACAAATGGTTCTGGGACAGTTGGATAGCTGCATGCTAAAAATGATTATGGACCCCTATCACGCCATATACAAAAATTAACCAAAAATGGGTCAGAGACCTTAATGTCAGTTAGCCATATTTTAGAAAAAAATACAGGGGCAAATTTTTGTGACTTTGAATTTGGCAATAGCTTCTTTTTTTAAATGTTTATTTTTGAGAGATAGCAAGCACGAGGGACAAGGGGGTTGGGGGGAGAGGATCTGAAGCAGGCGCCTCACTGACAGCAGAGCTTGATGTGGGGCTTGAACTCACAAACTATGAGATCATGACCTGAGCTGAAGTTGGACACCCAACCAACAGAGCCACCTAGGCACTCCAGCAATAATTTCTTTATGTATGATACTGAAAGCATAGGCAATAAAGAAAAAATTGGGTGTCATCAAAATTAAAAACTTGTGCTTCAGAGGATAATACCAACAAAGTGAACATACAACCCTCAGAAAGGGATAAAACATTTGAAAATCATGTATTTAATAAGAGACTTGTATCTAGAAAATATGAAGAACTCTTACCATAAAAAGAAATAATGTAAAAAATTTGGATAGAACATTTCTCAGAAGATGTGCCTACTGGGTAGTTTGTATATGAAAAGATGCTCAATATCAGTCATCAGGAAAATGCAAACACAATCAAAATCATAATGATACTACTTTACATGCACGTAGATCACTATGTTAAAAATAACAAGTGTTGGTGAAGATGTGGAAAAATTGAAACCCTCATACACTGCTGGTGGGAGTGTAAAAATACCTACTGTGAAAAATAATCCCAAAGTTAAACACAAAGTTACCACTTGAACAATTCTTTTTTTTTTTAATTTTTTAAATGTTTATTCAGTTTTGAAAGACAGAGACAGAGCACAAGTGGGGGTGGGGCAGAGAGAGGAGACACAAAATCTGAAGCAGGCTCTAGTCTCTGAGCTCTCAGCACAGAGCCCAACGGACCATAGGATCATGACCTGAGCTGAAGTCAGACATCAACTGACTGAGCCACCCAGCCACCCCACCACTTGTGCAATTATATTCATAGCTATATAACCAAGAGAAAAGAAAACTTATGTCCCTATAAAAACTTGTACATGAATATTCATAGCAGCATTATTCAGAATAGGCAAAAGGTAGAAATAACCCAGATGTCCATCAGTTGATGAGTGGATTTTTAAAATGTCCTAATCCATACAATGGAATATGATCAAGATATAAAAAGGAATGAAGTACTGATACATGTTACAATATGAATGAATTTTGAAAACATGCTGAATGAAGGTAACTAGTCACATATTGCTTGATTCTGTTTATGTGAAATCTTTCCCCAAAGAGGCAAATCTACAAAGAGAGTAGATCAGTGGTTGCCTAGGCCTGGGGCATAAGAGAAAGATATGAAGTCGATGGCCAAGAGTACAAGGTTCTTTTGGGAGTGGGTATTAAAATGTGTTAAACTTGATTGTGGTGATGGTTTTTAGTATATTTACAGTTAAGCAACTATCTAATTGTATTCTTTAGATGCGCTCATATATGTTATGTGAGTTATATCTTCACCGGAAAAAAAATTGCTGTGGGGTAAAAAACAAAAACAAAACTAAAGCAGTATTTCTCAAACTTCAATTAGAATTAATCACACCTGTAAAGCATGGTAAACATTTAGATAAGAATGTTCTAGGCTTGTTAAGGCACTAAAGGGCATGAGGAACCTTAAGTACATATTACTAAGTGAAAGAAAGCCTGAAAAGGCTACATCTGTGTGATAACTACAGTTGACCCTTGAACAACACAGGTTTGACTCCGCAGGATTACTTATGTGTGGCTTTTTTTTTTATACAGTACTGTAAATGTATTTTCTCTTATGACTTTTTTTTTTAACTTTTATTTAAATTCTAGTTAGTGTTTTTTGTGCAACATTGGCTTCAGGAGTAGAATTCAGTGATTCATCACTTATATACAACACCCAGTGCTCATCACAGGTGCCCTCCTTAATCTCTGTCATCCCTTTAGCCCGTCTGCGACCCACCTCCCTCCATCAACCCTCAGTTTGTTCTCTATCATTAAGAGTTTCCTATGGTTTGTTTCCCTCTCCTCCCCCCCTTCCCATATGTTCCTCTGTTTTATTTGTTAAATTCCACCTGTGAATGAAATCACATGGTATTTGTCTTTTTCTGACTGGCTTATTTCACTTAGCATAATATCTAGCTCCATCCACATTGGGGTGCATGTAGCCCTTCAAATCTGTATTTTTGTATCTACTGGGTAAATGCTTAGTGGTAGAATTGCTGGGTCATAGGGTAGTTCTATTTGCAGCTTTTTGAGGAAGCTCCATACTGTTCTATAGAGTGGCTGCACCAGTTTGCATTCACACCAATAATGCAAGAAGGTTCCCCTTCCTCTGCATCCTTGCCCACACCTGTTGTTTCATGTGTTGTTAATTTTAGCCATTCTGACAGGTGTGAGGTGGTATCTCATTTTTTGACTATCATTTCCCTGGTGATGAGTGATGTTGAGCATCTTTTCATGTGTCTGTTAGCCCTCTGGATGTCTTCCTTGGAAAAAGTGTCTATTCATGTCTTCCCATTTCTTCACTGGATTATTAGTTTTTTTGGGTGTCGAGTTTGGTAAGTTCTTTATAGATTGTGGATACTAACCCTTTGTCAGATATGTCGTTTGCGAATATTTTCCTCCCATTTTGGTTTTGTTGATTGTCTCCTTCACTGTGAAGAAGCATTTTATCTTGATGAAATTCCATAGTTCATATTTGCTTTTGTTTCCCTTTCCTCTAGGGATGTGTCTTGTAAGAAGTTGCTCCAGCTGAGGTCAAAGTGGTTGCTGGCTATGTTCTCCTCTAGGATTTTGATGGTTTCCTGTCTCACATCTAGGCCTTTCATCCATTTTGAATGTATTTTTGTGTATGCTGAAAGAAAGTGGTCTAATTTCATTCCTCAGCATGTTGCCATCCAGCTTCCCCAACACCATTTGTCGAAGAGACCGTCTTTTTCCATTGGACATGCTTTCCTGCTTTGTTTCCTGATGAGTTGACCATATTGTTCTGGGTCCATCTCTGGATTTTCTGTTCTATTCCATTGACAGACATGTGTGTCTCTTTTTGTGCCAGAATCCTACCACCTTGATGACTACAGCTCTGTAAAATACCTTGAAATCAGGAATTGTGATGCCTCTAGCTTTGCTTTGCTTTTTCAGGACTGCTTTGGCTATCTGGGGTCTTTTGTGATTCCGTGCAAATTTTAGGATTGTTTGTTCTGGCTCTGTGAAAAATGCTGGTGGTATTTTTATAGGGATTGCATTAAATGTGTGGATTGCTTTGGGTAGTATAGACCTTTTAACAATGTTTGTTCTGGCAATCCATGAGTATGAAAAGTTTTTCCATTTCTTTGTGTCCTCTTCACTATCTTTCCTAAGTGTTCTGTAGTTTTCAGAGTATAGATGTTTTACCTCTTTGGTTAGGTTTATTCCTGGGTATCTTACTGTTTTTGGTGCTCTCTTCTGATTTTCTTAACATTTTCTTTAGCTTACTTTATTGTTAATAATACGTTACATGATATATAAAGTATGTATCATATTTCCTTGCCTTATTGGTAAGGGTTTTTTGGTTAACAGTAGGATATTAG